TCCTGGCGGGTCCAGGAGGCAGAGGGAGAGGTTCCTGCGAGGCGCCCGGCTCTGCCCTCGATAAATGTCTCCTGTCTCGGCCAACACCCTCGTTCCCTGTTCGTGGTGTTCCATGATGCCTCGTTCCAGGGAGCCTTTGTCTGGGCCTCTCCCCTCTGTCTTTCGGGGTGCTCCTTTCCCCGGGAGGCTGCTCTGGATGGCACTGGGCATGGGTTAGTGTGTCCTGCAGCGTGCGGCAGAGTCCTGGTCTTTCCCAGCCATGGCTGGCCCTAGTCCTGCCCTGCCCTGCCCTGATGCAAGCTGCGGGCAGTCCCGTGGTCCACGCAGCGGGCAGCCCACACATAATGAGTGCACATGGGGCTGGCCAGGTCGCCCCTGAAGTCCACCCTGCCCTGGATTGATTAGCAGCTCCAGCTGTCCGGGGCGTCCCCTGAGGATGGGTCGGTCTGGAACGCTGGGGGTCTCCAGGGCCCACCCCAGCACCCAGGGAGGTGTCTGGTCGGGAGTGACCTGGGCCCACACACTGTGGCCTGCCCTTTCCCGCCTGGCTGAACCGGGTCACCACGCGGCGGGCAGCACAGTGCTTTCCGTGAAGGAATCTCGGGGCCGACGCGCTGTCTTCTCACTCAGCCGGGCACACACCTCCTGCCCTGACAGCGCGACCTGCCTTGTCCTCTTCCACCTCTTCCCGGGATCAGAAAGGGGGCATGCAGATGGGCAGGGCGTGTGCCGAGAGATTAATGTCATGTCGTTCGCTGTCAAACTGCAACTTTTACAAATCGGATCAGACTTCTCAGCAGTTGAAGTGAGTGCAAAAAGCCGGCTGCGGTCAAGTCGACTCTGACTCATGGCAACCCCACCCCGGGGGTGCTTGGCAGATGATGTTCCACCCACGGCAGGCGTGGTGGATGCCACATATCTCCTGGGCTCTATCCCTGTCCATCCCCGGTTGCTTCCTTCTGGACCCCTGGCTGTGCCCTCATCACGCCCACCCAGCTCGGGGGCAGTCAGCTTCTACTTTGGCCCCATCCCTCTTCTAGTACTGACAACAGCACCTTTGACTCCAGCTTTCTGTTCCCTTCAAGCCTTCCCCTTTCTCTTCCCTGGGTGCAGAATCTGTGGTCTGTCCATCACCCCTTCCTCGGCCCCCAGTCCCGCTCTCTTCCATCTGCCAGTTGGGCAGGACCCTCGGGTTCTCTCCAGCATGGGAGCTGGCTTTAATCCTGTGTCTGAGGGGTGGGCACAGCGCAGGACTCCGCCTTCTTTAAATCAGTGACCATTAGCTCCATGGGCCCCTGGGCGATCGATCCACTCTTCTATGCCCCCAAACATGCGACTCACACCGCCCCTCGCTACGCTTCAGCTCCCTGCCCCCCGCCGACTGACTCACAGCCTCACTGAGAAACAGAAGCGTTCAGATGAGACTGTCCATCCCAGCACCTGCCAGTCCCCCACGCTGTTCCCCACACCACCTCCTCTGCTGTCTCATGGGGGCCATCCAGCTGCAGGCTCCAGCCAGTGCCCATGTGCACCCTGGACCCCCTTCCTGCCCTCCTGCACCTGCTGGTCCCCACCCCCCGCAGCTCCAGCCGTCACTTCTCTGCTGGATCCTTCTTGCTGTCATCCAGACAAGATGGAGTATCTCCCGTTAGCACCTTTATCTTTAAATAATTTCAGACCATTGAATGCAAACCTGGTCGCGCGCTGTATTCCTCCATAAGCATGTTCCCACCTGGTGGTTGTGTTCGTGGTTGTCAGTTGCTGTCAAGTCAGCTCTGACTCAGGGTGACCCCGTGTACAACAGGACGGAACGCTGCCATCTTCGTGATCGTTGGTATGTTTGAGTCCACTGTTGAGGCCACTGTATCAGCCCATCTCATTGAGGGTCCCCCTCATTTTTGCTGATCCTCTACTTGACCAGCCGTGATGTCCTTTTCTAACGATTAGTCCTTCTGATGATGTGTCCAAAGTAGGTGAGCTGGAGTCTCACCATCCCTGCTTTGAAGGAGCATTCTGGTTGTGTCTTCTAAGACCCATTTGTGCGTTCTTCCGTTAGGCTAGCATAAAGGGAACGTAGTCGAGACGTGTGACGCTCAGGAGATTGATGATGGCATCAAGTGCATCTTGAAACAGAAATCTGGGTTACCCAGAAACCGGACTCCCTGCTCCCCACCCCGAGCCCTTCCTGAAGCTGACGACATCTCTGCCTGCCGCATAACCGCGTGTAAAAACCCTGACAATGACTAACCCTGACGCCAACAGCAGCGTCAGCTTCTCCTCGCTGACCTTGACCGATGGCCTCTCGAGCTCTGGGTTTTGTGGATCCCCCTGGCCTCGTATGAAAGTTCTTTTCCTTTCCTAGGACATGGGTAAATTCTGCCTGACGTACGAAGCCTCCATGACGCGGCTCTTCCGTGAGGGCAGGACAGAGACCGTGCGCTCCTGTACCACAGAGTCCTGCAACTTCGTGCTCGCCATGATGGACCCGGGCCAGACAGTAAGTGCGCATGAGCCGGGACAGCACAGTGCTCTCCAGGGAGGAGTCTTCTCAGTCGGTTAGACGCACACCTCCTACCCTGACACCACGACCAGCTTTCTGTCTCTTCCACCTCTTCCTTGGGACCAGGGAGGGGGTATTCATATGGGCAGGGCATGTACCAAGAGATTCATGTCATGTCCTCTGCTGTCAAACTATAACTTCTACAAATCAGATTAGACTTCTCAGTCGTCTTTAAGTTAGTGCAAAAAGCCAGCAGCGGTCAAGTCGACCCCAACTCATGGTGACCCCACGTCGTTTCAGAGTAGAGCTGTGCTTTTCTTTTTTAAAAAACATAATATTCTATTGTGTTTTTGGTGAAAGTTTACACAGCCAATTACGTTCCCATTTGACAGTTTCTATACAGATTGTTCAGTGACCTTAGTTACATTTTTCACAATGTGTCAACATCCTCTTTAATTGTGTTCTGGTTGTTCGGTTGCCAGTGCTCTAGTTTCCCTGCTCCCTTGTCTTCTCATCTTTGCCTTAGAGTCATTGTTGACCTTCTGGTCTCCTATAGATGGTTTTTAATGGAGGACCATACTCACGGGTGATGTCCTTTATTTTGTGTACCATTTGGTTATTTGGCTAAAAGGTGACCTCGGGATAGCTTCAATTCAAGATCTAAAGAGTGTCTCAGGGCGACAGTCTAGAGGAGTCTTCTAGTCTCAACTGGTCCAGTTGGTCTGGACTTTTTAAGGATTTGAGTTCTGTTCCACATCTTTCTCCTGTTCTCTCAAGGTCATCTGTTGTGGCCCTAGATTAGAACAGTTAGTAGTGGTAGCCGGGCACCATCTAGTTCTTCTGGTCTCAGTGTAGATGAGGCCATGGCTCATGTAGGCTATTAGTTCTGTAGACTAGTTTCTTCTCTGAGACTTTGATTTCTTTCTTTTTCTTTTGCTCCTGACAAGTAGGGACCAATAGTTGTATCTTAGTTGGCCGCTCACAAGTTTTTAAGACCCCAGTCACTACTCACCTCCCTAGGATGCAGAATATGAACTTCATGATGCCACTGAGTTTTCTTTTCATGAGTCCATGTGTCTGTGGAAGAGTGTCACTTAATGTTAGAATGAGGCAGTGCCCTGTGCAGATTCTATTTGAGGTACTTCTGTTTATAATGAAAACTCTTAAGAAACCTTGCTGACATCAGTAAGCAGATGGGGGATATGGAAGGAAATTTGTGCTAGCGATGTCACTCGCTTCTTTGAAAAGACAAAACAGACCTGAAGACCAGGTCTCAAACGGGTGGGTCGGAGGCTCGGCAGGCCTCTGCTTAAAGGGTGCTGTGTTGCCCTGGTCCTGTGGCTTACTTAGCAGAGCTGAAAAGAGCCTGAAGCAGCCTTTTGGGGTCAGATTTAAAGGCCCAGAGGACTGTTTGAGTCAAGTTGGTAGCCAGACCCCTTTGGAAGGCAATTCACAGCTCACAGTGACATCGCAGGGAACTGAGGGGGGACCCAGCTCCATTTTCAGACAGTGGGCTGTGAGGCTCATAAAACTGACTGAAGGAGTCCCTGGGTGGTGCAGATAGTTAATGTGCTCGACTGCCAACCAAAAGGTTGGAGATTCAAGGCCACCCAGAGGTGCCACAAAAGAAAGGCTTGGCAACCTACTTCCGATCAATCAGTCTTGAAAACCCTATGGAGAACCATCTGTACGAGACCAAATGGTCAACAGAGACTCTAAAACAAAGATGAAGGGGGACGAGGAGAGGGAAACCAGGTGACTGGAGGGGAGATATCCAGCAGGGAAGGAGGGAGAATGTTGACACATTGTCAAAAGTGTAACCACTGTCACTGAACAATTTGTGTAGTAATTGTTACCTGGGGAACCTCATTTGCTGCATAAACTTTCACCAAAAACACAGTGAAATATTATTTAAGAAGAAAAAAACAAAAAACCCCATGGAGCACCGTTCTGCTGTGATGCCCGTGGGCACGCTGTGGGTCAGAATCGACTCGACGGCAGCCAGTTTTAACCCCTGTTGAATGTGAGCCTCCCAGCCTTCTGAGCGAGCTCGTTTGTGTAAACAGTGAAATAACGCTACGTGAGCTGCACGGAGGATACAGCAAATGTGCTTCCAACAACCCTCACCTCCGCGGCCTTGGACACCACCCCCCTCCACTCGCAGCACAAGTCTGTGGAAGGGGCAGGCGGTCAGTGGGGCTCCTCGGTGGGTGTCCAGCGCGTCCCGCCAGGGGATCTCCAGGCAGGTGACCATGTGGAGAAAAAGGCTTGTTAGCGGCTGTTCATTTTGAGGCTCAGACCTGCCCCATACCACCCGAAACGCCCAACACATATCGCTACCATTCTGTGTGACTTAGGTGGAACAGCGCCTCAAGTTATTCAGGATGGCCTCTGAGAAGCATCAGCTGCTGTACCGCCTCGCGATGACGGGAGCTGGTATCGATCGCCATCTCTTCTGTCTCTATGTGGTATCCAAGTACCTGGCCGTTGACTCCCCTTTCCTGAAGGAAGTAAGTCACCTCTTCAATCAATTTTGCTGGCTAAACTCCTACTAAGGAGCTCTGGTGGCACAACGGTTAAGCACTAGGCTACTAACCAAAAGATTGGTGGTTCGAACCCACCCAGCAGCTCCACGGAAGAAAGGCCTGGCAATCTGTTCCCATAAAGATTACAGCCAAGAAAACTCTATGGGGAAGTTCTACTCTGTCACACGTGGGGTCTCTATGAGTCGGGGGCTGACTCGATGGTACCCAAACAACACAGCCACAAACTACTACCAGTTGCCACTGAGTTGGTTCTGACTCATGGTGACCCCATGCGTGTCCGAGTAGAACTGTGTTCCACAGAGTGTTCGTTGGCTGATTTTTCAGAAGTAGGTTGCCAGCCTTCTCTTCCTAGTCCCTCTTCATCTGGAAGCTCTGTTGAAACCTGTTCAGCATCATAGTGATAACGCAGGCCTCCACTGACAGGTGGGTGGTGGCTGCACATGAGGTGTATTGCTGGGAATCAAACCCGGGTCTCCGCGTGGGAGGTGAGAATTTTACCACTGAATCACCACTGTCTCACCCTACTGGCTTAATAGACATAAGTCACCTCAAGAGCATAGATAATAGTGAAATGTGCTAAAATAATCATGAAGTGATCAGTTCTGAGTATTTGTCATCGTTTTTAATATAATTTAATTGTAAGTTTATAAAAATTTAATTTTTTTTAATGGCTATGTTTAACAACTGGCTTGGAAAATTCCTGACAATTTACCAGTTGGCTCATGGGAGCTGGCATGAGTCTGCTCCAGCACGACACTGCCTTCATCTAAATCTCATTTGATGTACCTGCCACCTTTTCTGCCTGAGATGCTGTTACTGGCATTGGCCGTGTCCCGTCCAGGTGGCATCACCTGCACCGCGCCCTCTGCAGATGTAGTACCCTGAGCCGGCGGAAGTCAGGGACGTAGGCCTTTTGTGTCTAAAACAGTCAGAAGACGGAGCAAACGTCTTACGTCTTCCCACGGGGTCTCTGCAGTGACAGCAGACCTCAGATTAGGGACAGCGCCATTGGGACATTTCCTGATTGTGCCGTCCTTGTTTTACTCAACAGGTCTTATCTGAGCCGTGGAGGTTGTCAACCAGCCAGACCCCTCAGCAGCAGGTGGAGCTGTTTAACCTGGAAAGGAATCCAGATTACGTGTCTAGTGGAGGGGGCTTTGGCCCGGTAAGTGGAGTGCGGCATCCCCGTACCCAGAGCCGCCAGCTCCAAGGACATGGCACCCGCCCACCACCACCATCTCAGGCCCGTCTCCATTCTGAGCACTCCCCTTGACATTACTGGTGGCCTACTCTGACGGATCCCTGCTGATCACTGATACCAATGTCAATGGCAGCCTTGTATTTAAATGTTGTTGTTGTTATTGGTTGCTGTCGAGTCAGCTTCGGCTCATGGTGACCCCATGCTCAACGGAACGAAACGTTGCCCAGTCCTGCACCATCTTCGTGATCGTTGGCATGTTAGCGTCCATTGTTGTGACCACTGCATTCTGAGTGCCTTCCAACCTAGGGGGCTCATCTTCCAGTGCTGAATTAGATAATATTCTGTTGTGATCCATAGGGTTTTCACTGGCTGATCTTCAGAAGTAGATCAACAGGCCTTTCTTCCCAGTCTGTCTTAGTCTGGAAGCTCTGCTGCAACCTGTCCACCGTGGATAACCCTGCTGGTATTTGAAATAGCAGTGGCATAACTTCCAACATCAGAGTAACACACAGGCCACCGCGCTGCAACAAACTGACAGACATGGGGTGGATTTAAAATGTTGGAAAGTCTCTTTTTCATGTGGCCTCGTTTCCCAGCGCCAGATTTAAACCTCTTTTGTTCCACAGGTTGCTGACGATGGTTATGGTGTGTCGTACATTCTCGTAGGAGACAAGCTCATCAATTTCCACGTATCTTCCAAGTTCTCCAGCCCTGAGACTGTAAGTACAAAAAGTTCCCTTTTCTAAAGTAGGGTGTTTTCATTTTTTTCTGCCCAAGGGGAGCACATCCTTAATTTGACATAAAATTTCAATTTCATCAACTGCTTTTTCTTGGTTTGAAAATTTTCAAATAAATAAATTTCAAATTCCCCAAGCCTAGCTTTAAAGAAATAGATCTTATTTGATTTAAAATGTTTTATCTTTGCTGATAGCAAAAGCTTCCAATCTTAAGTGACGTTGGAGTGCTTTGATGACTTTTAGACTTTCTATAACTCTTGAAAGCTAGACTAAGAATAGTATGCACACACTGAGAAATACACACACGGCTGCACAGGGATCTGCACACGCTGAGAAATACACACACGGCTGCACAGGGATCTGCACACGCTGAGAAATACACACACGGCGGCACAGGGATCTGCACACGCTGAGAAACACATGGCTGCACAAGGATCTGCACACGCTGAGAAATACACACACGTGGCTGCACAGGGATCTACACACGCTGAGAAATACACACACGCCTGCACAGGGATCTGCACACTCTGAGAAATACACACATGGCTGCACAAGGATCTGCACACGCTGAGAAATACACACACGTGGCTGCACAGAGATCTGCACAC